GTACTAGACTTATCAGGGTGATCACTTTGTAAGTTATATAAATGTCTAAACACTATGTTGTACACCTGGAATATAATATTGTATGCCAACTGTAATTTAAAAAATAAATCTTAAAATTATATAAAATAATATAAATTTTTTGTATTTTTTAAGAGTAGTGCAAGAAACTAGAGATTAGTCTCATTTTTGTACCTTTACCAAAAGTTGTTTATTATATCTAGTTTTGGACAAAAAACTGAGACATGTAGTAATCTTATAAAATATTGGTTCATTGATATTTTAAAAAATAATGTATTTGTGCCTAAGTATATGTCTATTTTTGTATGTATGTTGGTAGAATATACTTAGAAAAAAGAGTCTGGAAAGATACACGTAAAACCATTAAGAATGTTTCTTTTTAGGCCTGGCTGGCGTAGCTCAGTGGATTGAGCGCGGGCTGGGAACCAAAGTGTCCCAGGTTCAATTCCCAGCCAGGGTACATTCCTGGGTTGCAGGCCACAACCTCCAGCAACCGCACATTGATGTTTCTCTCTCTCTCTCCCTCCCTTTCCTCTCTAAAAAATAAATAAATAAAATATTTTTTTTAAAAAAGAAAGAAATTTAAAAAAAAAGAATGTTTCTTTTTTAAACTTTTTTGTGTTGTTGTTCAAGTACAATTGTCTCCATTTTCCCCCCACCACTCCCCCCCAGCCATCCCCACTTCCCACCCTTGGTCCTCCCCACCTTTGGAGAACGTTAATATAGTATTTGAAGGGAAAATGTGAGAGAAAATTTTTATTCTTCATGCATTGTGAGAAGTTTTGAATAATTTTATATAAGCATGTATTTTATAACACAGAAACTTCTTTTTAAATGTACTTTCACCACTTTAAATACATTGTAATAGGCCTGACTGGTGTGGCTCAGTGGGCTAAGTGTTGTCCTGCAACCTGAGGGGTTGCTGGTTCATTTCCTGGTCAGGGCACATGCCTGGGTTGTGGGCCAGGTCCCCATTCAGTGACATATGAGAGGCAACCTATCCATGTATTGCTCACACATTGATGTTTTTCTCCTTCTCTTTCTCCCTCCCTTCCCCTCTCTCTAAAAATGAACGAATGAACTCTTTAAGTAAATAAATTGCAAGAATTCTTAAAGGGCTTTACACATAGTTTCTGTATTTTTCATAATGAAAATAGGTTACAAATTACCAATGGAATGAAATAAAATATTTTCAAATTATGTGTTTTTTTAAAGATATTATTAATTTGCTCTTAGAGGGGAAGGGAAGCAGAGAGGGAGAGAAACACCAATGTGTGGTTGCCTCTCACACACTTCTTACTGGGGACCTGGCCTACAACCCAGGCATGTGTCCTGATAGGAATCGAACCAGAGACCCTTTGGTTCACAGGCCAGCACTCAGTCCACTGAGCCACATCAACCAGGGCTCAAATTATTTGATTACATACCCACTTAGTAGCAAATAAGCAAATAATGAAGCATCTTGCATTTCATTTTCAATAGGCAAGAAGTTGTAACCCTGATTCAGCTTTTACTTCTTAATTTTATTTTAGAAACTGATCCTGCACCAGAGTATATCCCGGGGGTTTTCATTATACCTATACCTATAGAGAGAGCTGAGTGCAGCTTGATTTTCCGTGCTACATATTTTCTTTATGAAAATAAAGAAGCTTGAGATATGAACTTAAAGGGATATGAGAAACTGATTTTTTAATTAACTAACTAAGAGGCCAACCCCCTTCTCACAGCAGCAGCCCAGTGCACAAGTCCCAGGCCCCCTCTTCCTTGGACGTGGCTTGGGCTGGAGGCATGCAGGGCCGGAGACACCGTGGACTTGGGGTCTGAAGCAGCACGGAGGCAGTGGATAATAGTTCTTCAAGTCTGCAATAAAAAAATAAATATGGCCCAAACAAAAGAAGAGATCAAAACTCCAGAAAAAGAACTAAGCGACAAGGAGATATCAGAGGCAGAGTTCAAAACACTGGTAATCAGGATGCTCACAGAAATGATTGAGTACGGCCACAAAATAAAGGAAGAAGTGAAGGCTATACAAAGTGAAATAAAGAAAAATATACAGGGAACCAACAGTGAAGGGAAGGAAACTGGGACTCAAATCAGTGATTTGGAGCAGAATAAGGAAATAAACATTTAACCGGAACAGAATGAAGAAACAAGAATTCAAAAAAAAAAAAAGAGGAGAGACTAAGGAACCTCCGGGACAACTTTAAATGTTCCAATATCCAAATCACAGGGGTACCAGAAGAAGAGGAAGAGCAAGAAATTGAAAACTTATTTGAAAAAAATAATGAAGGAAAGCTTCCCTAATCTAGTGAAGAAAATAGACATGCAAATCCAGGAAGCTGAGAGAGTCCTAAAGAAGTTGGACCCAAGGAGGAACACACCAAGACACATCATAATTAAACTGCCCTAAGATTAAAGATAAGGAGAAAATCTTAAAAGCAATAAGAGAAAAGGAGAGACCTATTTACAAAGGAGTTCCCGTAAGACTATCAGCTGATTTCTCAAAAGAAACCTTGTAGGCAAGAAGAGACTAGAAAGAAGTATTCAAAGTCATGAAGGCAAGGACCTACATCCAAGATGACTCTATCCAGCAAAGCTGTCATTTAGAATGGGGGGCAGATATAGTGCTTCCCAGATAAGGTAAGTTTAAAGAAGTTCATCATCACCAATCCCTTGTTCTATGAAATGTTAAAGGGACTTATCTAAGAAAAAGAAGATCAAAACTATGGATAGTAAAATGACAACAAACTCACAACTATCAACAACTGAACCCCAAAACAAAAACAAACTAAGCAAACATCCAAAACAGGAACAAGATCACAGAAATGGGAGATCATATGGAGAGTTATCAGTGGGGAGGAGGGGAAGGGAGAATGGGGGAAAAAGTATAGGAAATAAGAAGCATAAATGGTAGGCACAAAATAGACAGGGGGAGGTTAAGAACAGTACAGGAAATGGAGAAGCCAAAGAACTTATATGTACGACCCATGGATATAAACTAAAGGAGGGAGAATGCTGGTGGAAGGGGGGTGCAGGGCAGAGGAAGATAAAGGGGAGAGAAAAATGGGACAATGTAATAGCATAATCAACAAAACATACTTTAAAAACATTTTTAAAAAATGGCCTCCAATAAAACTACTTCACAAACAATGGGAAAGAAAGAGACTGGAAAGAGTAAAAAAGTTGAAGAGGCAGAGCCTGAAGAATTTGTAGTGGGAGAAGTATTGTACCAATACTTCTCCCACTACAAATAGTGAATGGGAAAGGTGGAGTATTTCCTGAAGTGGAAGGGATCCACAGATACTGACAATACTTGGGAACCTGAAGAAATTTAGATGGCCCAGAGTTAATTGAAGCATTTCATTCTCAAAAAGCTGGTAAAGAAAAAGATCGTACAAAAAGGAAGTCTTTATCTGATAATGAATCTGATGGTAGCACATCAGGGAAGAAAAGAGATGCTGCTGATAAGCCGAGAGGCTTCATCAGAGGTCTTGACCGGAAGGAAGAACTGGTGCCACAGACAGCAGTGGAGAATTAACGTTTCTCTCGAAATGGAAAGACGGAGATGAGGCAGACTTGGTGCTGGCAAAAGAGGCAAATATGAAGTGTCTTCAAATTGTAATTGCTTTTCAAGAAGATTCTAACTTGGCATTCTTGTTTAGAAGACAGAGCCCAGTAATTGTTTGCATTCCTTTTATATATATTTATATGTATAAAAATCTGGGTCTTGGCTTTTTGATTTATTAACATGAAGAAATAATTACATTCTAATAAAAATCAAGTTTGATATGTTTGTTTTGAAGTAGTACTGAGGGAGTAGTTGGTGGGTTGCATCTACAGCACTGGTTACTTTGGAACAAAAGCTTTCTGTAGTTGCTTCCTTCATCAGAAAAGAACATTTGATACCATGGTATATTCCTTCCTCTGCATTAGAGAACAGCTTTTCTAAATGTTGGGGGGAGCCTCCATTGTTGTTACTCAGTCAGAATTTGTGTTTAAGTCATATATGCCTAAGGATAATTGTGGGTTTTTTGTTTATTTGGTGGGGGATGGTTGGTGTGTGTACATATGTAAATGTAAATGGTGTTCCTTTATTTTTTTAACCAGAACAAAAACAGCATTTCAAAACCATAGATAAACTCATGTTTCTGGGCTGCTGTCATTTTCAGCAACCTAAGAAATAAGTCACTTCAAGTTAAATTGAAATTTTTCGTGAAGCTTTAACCTTTGAAATTAAACAGATAATTTGTAATTAATTGGGCAACTTAAATATAATGTAAGCAGTTCAAATTGGACAATTTAAAAGCAGCCACATCAGAATCCATACCTACAATTATAAATGCAAGTTTGTGAAAGGAAAATTTTATCACTACCAACAACCTCTCCTCTCAAATGAGAAAACTAGGCAAACCCTGGTATATTTTAATTATGCAAACAAGACTTATTTACAGGTTTCAACTAGTAAGACGTTCCTTTCTAAAAAGTTAAAATCCCTGTGTTGTATTGACTAAAAAGCTATGATCATGAAATGTGTAAGACTTTATTCATGGAAACCTAATCAGGTGCTTAGGGACCTTGGCGATTTAGATCTGCTAGAATAAATGAGTTAACAAGTGTTGTGATCTAAAGTTTTGACTTGCATGTTTTTACTCCAGCTCATTCCTTGCATGTAGCCTCAGTCTCAGTATTTGGGTTTCTGGTTCAATAGAAGCCAGGAAAGACCATAACTTGGTAGTAAACAGAATGTTATCCAACTGCATATTGTTTACTTTATTGTAAATACTGGTGAACAGTGGTCGATGAATAGTTTTATATTGCTTTTTCTTAAAAGGCCATATAAGAACTGGCCTTTACAAATTGTTTTAAAGATGTATTTTCATGGATTAAATATTATTTAAGAGATATTATTTTTTAATTCCTTCTTTAGTATTGCATCAAAATACTTTTTAAAATATTCTCCAAATGTTAAAAACTATTTCTAGAATGAAGATAAAATGAAAGAGAAAAAAAGGCATTTGGGAGACACAAAGCACTTTTGTCCAGTGGTTCTCAAAGAAAAATTCGTCCTCCAACCAGGCAACACAGAAGAGGCAGCTAAATATCAAGAAAAGATCTACTACTTTTCAACTCCTGAGGCTAAAGAAAAATTCTTGGCGTATCCTCAGGAGTATGTAGCTCATAAAGAACCATTAAAGGTGAAAACTATTTTCCTATCCTAATCACTGATCCTGTGCACTTCTTAGGGACTTACTATATCCGTAACCAGTTAGTCTCTGAGCAGAGCAGTCTGCTGACCATGAGATGGGATTTGGGGGAGCTGTGGGATTCACAGGTTTACAGCCTTCAGGGGGCTGACATCCTCTGCAGAAAGGTGATTACTCAGGTGAGACTGCTGTTAGCCTGGTTCCACTCAGAGGCATGGTTACGGGGGCAAATTCATGCCTGATTGCTTGACTCTGAAGAGCAAAGGATGGCACTGATTCGCAAATTTGCAAGAGTGTTCCCAGAGGGGAGTTGTCCTTGATCAACCAAACTGCTTTAAAATTGCTTTAAGAAGCTATAGGATAATCAACTTTTTCCAAAATTTGTGGGAACATTTTTATCCTGACGTGTTTATCACCTTTGGACCAGTTTTCTACCTTCTTTAAAAAATATTTATTAAAGCCAAACACGGAAGAACAAATACTGTATGATTGGACTCATACAAGGTAAATTCATAGGGACAGAAAACAAAAAAGTGGTTGCCTAGGGGTGAAGAAAAAAAGGGACTAGAAGTTGCTGTTTAATGGGTACAGAGCTCCAGTTTGGAATGATGAAAAAGTTCTGCAGAGAGATACTGGTGATGGTTGCACAACATTGTTTATGTATGTAATGCCACTGAATTTTGTACACTTACAATGGTTAAAATGGTAAGTTTTACATTATGTTCTTTTACCACAATAATAACGATAAAGGAACACACTGGGGCAATATTGTATTCATTCTTTAAAACAAAGCACACACATAGTAACACCAGCTTTAAGCAAGTATTCATTTTTATGTTTTACTTTCTCGTCCTTTTCTACATTCTTTCTAGTGTATAAAATATTTTATAATCTTTTTTCTCTTAACATTATACCATAGAAAGTTTGTGTATTCCTATATAGATGTCATAATGCTTGATCATTTTGACATACCATTTTAATATAAGTTGTCAGGTGTTTTTATCATGCTAAAAAAGTATCTTTCCATTCTTTTTAAACAAAAACTTTAAAAAATTCTATTTTAGCAAATGCCTTTTGGTCTAAGAGATCAAGATGATCTTGTGGTTGTTAACGCTCCCTGAGAAGAATTGTTGAGGCAGTGAATCATGTTAATTTATATCCTAATGTCAAAATATCCTTGAGTTTATTAAGTGATAATTCAGTCTTGGGGGAGGCAGTTAATTAACCTTTTTTTTTAATTACTCGAAACTTTCTTTTCTTCACTCTCCCTTACCCCACCCGTCGTGGCAGGCTCCTCCATTAAGAATATGCCTTCTGGGCCCCCGTGGCTCTGGCAAAACTGTCTGTGGGAGACAGTTAGCAGAAAACTTGGGCATCTTTCACATTCAGTTTGAAGAATTTCTACAAGAAAAACTAATGCTCAAAACTGAAAAGAAAATTGGACCTGATTTTGAAGAAGATGCTGAGGAAGAACAGCTTGCAAAACAAGAACTTGAAGAGCTTGCAGTTCGGGCCAATGTCAAAATTGAGGAAGAAAATACAAAGAAGCCGGTAGTAATATTGATACTCTCTTTGCAGATAGTTGTGTTTACTGGTATTACTTTTGGAAAGTAGAATATAAGCAACATAAAACTTTATAAGTTTTCTCAGAAAAGGAAAAGAATTAGCCCATAAAAGTCACTGAAGAGTCATTTTCCTCACATATTAGATACAGATCTTACTGCTAATCTAGAATATAAAATTACCAAGTTTCACATGGCTCCAATAAAAGTCAGAAAAGTTTTCCCTAAAAGGAGTGCTGTATAGCATTTATTTGGGACTGTTTAGTATGTCTGACCTAGACTATAAGGTTTTTCATTATTGTGTTCTCTGTGTTTTTTTATCTTGTGTCATAAAAATCTGCCCCAGTGCCAATGGGGATTTCAAAATATTAATTCTCATGATGCCTCATAAGAAAGGTAGTATGACTGTCTTAGGTGGCTTCTATCTAGGGTTGTAAAGAGAAAGTTCTTCATTCTGACTCCCTTTTTAACCATTTCTGATATAGCTAGACCCTTTGCTTCTCAAAGGATCCCTTGTAAATGGTACAGATTGTGTTTCAGATGACCATCTTGCTAGCCCACCCTTTAATCATTATAATCAGGACCTAGGTTTAACCATTATAAGATAGATGACAAAAATCAGTTAAGCCTTACAGGATTGTGATATAAACTGAACAAGATTTTAACAAAAAGTGGTAAGACAGGTATCCTGAGGCCATGTATGAAAATCAGTTATGAGCCCTGGCTGGCGTAGCTCAGTGGATTGAGCGCGGGCTGGGAACCAAAGTGTCCCAGGTTCGATTCCCAGCCAGGGTACATTCCTGGGTTGCACGCTATAACCCCCAGCAACCGCACATTGATGTTTCTCTCTCTCTCTCTCTAGCTCCCTTCCTTCCCTCTCTAAAAAATAAATAAATAAAATAAGAAATTTTTTAAAAAATGTGTTAAAAAAAAGAAAATCAGTTATGCTAATAGCTAGTAACTCCTCTTAGATATGTATAATTTAATATTTAAAACCATATTAAAATTGGCTTAAAGAAAAGAGCACAAATTTTAAAAGGTTTACAAGCAACAATATAAAAAAAATATCCTGAGAAAAACCAGTCTCATCTTAATCAACTATGCAATAGAGCATTGTTAATTAATATAGACACTTAAATTTGTTTTTGTTTTGTTTTCATGTTTAGATTTCAGAAATACAATTTACAGAAGAAGAAGAAGCAATCAGACTAAATATAATGGAAAATGAACAATTGCCTCCTGAAATTCTTGATGCAATTCTTTCTGAGTGGTGGTTTAAGGAACCAATACGGTATTTTAATTTATATAGGATTATACATGTATAGACTTTAATTTGCCTTATTCTCAAAAGTTTAAAGTGCAGTCCAACATAAATTTAAGAATTTTCTCCTTTACTTTCATGTAAATTAGTGATTCAATACATTAAAATCATTGGGGGAATTATTTTTAAAATACTGATGCCAGAGACCCCAACCCAAAACAATTGAATCAAAATCTTTAAGGATGTAAGGTTGGCACATAGGCATTGGTATTTTTGAGAGCTTCCCAAGTGATTCTAATGTGTAGTTGTGAATGAGAACCCATGATTTAAACCCATGATGTGCCTTTTAGTAATTACAGTTGTTAAGAGCAATTAATAGCTGTCCATAGTGTTATCCCTTAACCAAAGGCCAAGAACAAGCCTGACCCCACACAGGACAAGTCTAAGAATCAGGTCAGCAGAATTTAAAACTTCACTTTGTCTTCCTAAACCAGAATCTCTTATGTTGGTATCCACCAGAAGAAAATGAAATAACATTCACAGTACTAATAAGCAAACACTTAAATGGAACTTACTATGTGACAGATACTGTTCTACTATATTTTACTCATACTAATTTACTTAATCCTTGCTACTACCCTATGGGATAGAGACTTTTATTATATCATTTTAGAGATAAGGAAACTATATCATAGAGAATTCAAATAATTGGGCAGTCCCAACACTACTCTGCACACTCTTCCACTTAGTCCCTGGCCTAAAAGAGTGAGGGGGATTATCGATCATCAACTTTAATTGTAGTGTCTTGTTCCCTAAATTAGATCAGTAGTTGTAGTAAACTTGGGTAGGTTGCCTGCAATAGCGTCATGAGTTGTTTTTTTACTATTTAGCTCCTGACCTCATACCATACATTTTTTTAAAAAGCATATGATTTGAAGAATTAAAAGTTAAGTGTGAAGTTGTAAATGCCTAAATAAAATAACAATATTATACAACCATTAAAATGTGTTACAATGAAGAATTTGTAATAGCATAAGAAATGTCATTTATGGTAAGTTTAAAAAGAAGATGCAATATCACTTATGATAGAGAGGTGGACACACGAAGAACAAACTGGAAAGAAAAACAAAATGTCAGTAACCTCTGGAACATGAGATTGTAGATAATCTTGCATTTTTCATGCTTTCCTGTATTTTCCACTTTTTCTATAGTGAGATTTGTTGCATTTATAATATGGAAAGAATCAACAGATTTTAAAAAGGGCATTGCATTAGTCCTGGAGAGGTGTCATAAGAGCCTGAACTAAGGTACAATGTTGGAAATGGAAATGTGGGTACAGAAAAGGGCATGCCAGGACTTAGCTTGTACTTATGAGAACCAAGAAGGAATTAGGGGAGCAATCCAAATGTCTCTGAAGTTTGCCACCTGAATAGTTGTGAGTTAGAAGGAACAGCAGTGTGGAAGAATTAACAATAATCAGGATTTTTGACAGTACAATGCATATGTCATTTCTGAGGGGCACTGAGATAGAGAAACTGAGCAGCTTTTTGAAAATTCGAATTGAAACTCAGAACAGAGGTTGGGCATAAAGGTGAAGATTTAGAAGTCATTGACAAAGAAGTGACAGCTGGAAGAGTAGGAATGAAATTGTTCCTCACAAAAGAGATGATGCTGAAGGCATCTCTAAAGAAAAGTACACCTACTATGGCCATTCGATGGAAATTTGCCCATTAATAAGATAGAAAACTTTTTTTAATGCCAATTAAGGGCTGAAACTATCAGATGTTCATGATACTACTGTTCATATTAAGAAAACATATTTAAATATAAGCATAAATATTTAAATATAAGAATAAATATTTAAGCAAACCAAATTTTAGATGAGCAAGATAAACTCTCATTCAAAAGGGGACCAATATCAACTTTCTCAGTTAACGAAGGCAAGTTCTCCAAGCCTGATTCTTTTGTAGTTACTCCACAATGAAAGTATGTTTGTTAACTGTCCAGTTCTATTCATGATTCTTCAAGTTTCATCATAGCAAAACAAGTTTGATAATATTTGGTTATAATTGTCTTAATACATATGAGCCAGGATATATACACAAATAACTGCCATGAGTTACAAGGGGACCCAGGGAAGAGGGTGCGAATTGTCTCAGGAAAGGAAGCATCACCAAGTGAAAAACTGCAGAGGAGCGGATTCCCAGTAAAGGTGGGCGGGCCAGATCTACCGTTCTATGAAGGGCGACACATTCATTAGGCTGCACATACCTCCCAGGCAGAGAATTTATTTTCTCTTAATTTTTACCAACTATTAAGGCTACTTACAGTTAAAGAGAGCTTACTTATATTGTAAATATAAGTATAAATGTTATAGTTTTAATCTAATTTAATACATTTGAGAGAAGACACATCATGTTTATACAAAGAGAAACATTACAAGAACTAAAAGATATTACTTTTTAAACTACTCACACATATAAAGTTGAGATCTATCAACTTTTTTCATTCTCAATATTTATAATACAATGTTTTACGTAACTTGTGAAATGTACACCTAGTTCCACAGGTTTCATATTGGATGGTTTCCCACGATATCCCGAAGAGGCCCAGTTACTGGCGGAACATGGGTTTTTCCCAGATGCTGCTGTTTTACTGCAAGTGGATGATCAAGATGTTTCTGATCGCCTCCTGCCTCCTCAAATTGAAAAGTGGAGACTGAAACAAAAGGCAAAATTAGAAAGGAAAAAACTCATTAAAGAAATGAAGGCAAAAATCAAGGTATGTATCTGGTAAAAAAATATGAGAGTAAATTTTTATGGCATCTATTCAGTTTATAAAGTGATCTTTACAAAAATGTAGTTTCTGATTTTAATACCACAGTCAGTATGAAAACACTTTTCATCAAATATAAAAGAGTACTCACAATTAAAGAGTTAAGATTTATTTGAGGCCTAAATGATTATCAATATGTTAATGCTTCTCTCTCTAAGGCAAATTAAAGATTGTGGTAGCACCAAAGTATCCTTATGTCTGACACAGGAGCATTATGGAAGAGACAGCAAGTGAAGCAGGCCTTAACACACAGAGAATTAAAATTATCAGTGGTTTTCTCACTAGGTCCTGGAATTGTGACACCTGGAATTGTGACACCATCCATGAAGGCCATGGAAAGCCTGTAGTGAAAAAGATCCAGATAATAGCTTAGAAACCCTTTTCTAAAACTGTAACATGAGGAGCATTCTGTAAAATATTCAATAGTGTCATAGGAAACCAAACAGTTCCACCCCTAAGAACCTATCTCATAGAAATGAAAACATGTCCAGATAAAAATTTGTATATGAATATTCATAATCACATTATTCATGATAGCCCAAAACTGGAAAGAACCCAGTGTCCTTCACCTAATGAATGAATAAACTAACTGTGATAGACAATCAGAGTGCTCTGAGTTCTGGCCCCAGATGGAGACATAGGAGCCTCCTGAACTCACCTCCTCCCATGGACACACTGAATCTGTATCCAAAGCAATTCCCTCTGAAGGATACACAGAAACTAGCTGAGCAAGTTTGAACCTTTTAGTCCTGCATATTGGGAGAACAAGAACCCCTGTCACCCATATCAGAAGAGCTGCTGCATGAAAGTCTAACCTCCCATTAGCCTGGGCTGACTACGATCTTCCCTTCGGGACACTGATGGGTTATTGCTCACCTTCAACTACTGGGAGCCACAAAGAACAAAGAAGTTAGCTTGGACAATCACAAAGGTTTGAGAAACAGCCAAGAATGAGGGCCAGGCTGATCAATAAAGTTAATCTTCTGCCCTGGCTGGTGTGGCTCAGTGGATTGAGTGCTGGCCTACAAACCAAAGGGTCACCAGTTGGATTCCCAGTCAGGGCACATGCCTGGGTTGCAGGCCAGGTCCCCAGCAGGGGGCATGTCAGAGGCAATCACACATTGATGTTTCTCTCCCTCCCTTCCCCTCTCTAAAAGTAAATAAATAAAATCTTTAAAAAAAAAGAGAGAGAGTTAATCTTCTACATAAGCCCACTCTGTCAAGACTGGAGAGGTGTCTGCTGTCCAAAAGCAGAGCTTACTGAAATGGAGATAAATGATTTACCTGGTAAAGAGTTCAAAGTGATGGTCATAAAGATGCTAAGCAAGGTCAGGAGAATAGTAAATGAACAAAATGAGAATTTCAACTAAGAGACAGAAAATATAAGAAAGTACCAATCAAATCACAGAGTTGAAGAGTACAATACTGAACTGAAAAATTCAATAGAAGAGTTCAATAGCAGACTAGACACAAAAATCAATGGAACAGAGTACAGAGCCCAGAAATAACCCCACACATATATCGTCAATTAATTTACATCAAAGCAGCTAGAATATACAGTGGGGAAAGGACAGTCTCTTCAATAAATGATGTTCGTAAAACTGGGCAGCCACATGCAAAAGAATGAGATTGGACTCCTATTTTATACTGTACAAAAAAATCAACCCAAAATGGATTAAAGACTTGAACATGAGACCTGAAACCATAGAAGTCCTTGCTCAGTCATTTTGAACAAGCGGCAGCCACACAGTACACACGCTCACTCAACAGCACCTATTGCCCCCACTGACTAGTAGAATGAAGTCATCATTATTCACACATGCACATTCCAGTCCCCCTACAGCCCAGAAGAAAAGATAGGGAGTAAGCTTTTTGACATTGACCTTGGAAATGTTTTTTTGGGGACTTGACATCTAAAGTGAAAGTCAGCAAGTGGGACTACACCAAACTAAAAAGCTTCTATGCAGCAATGAAAACCATCAACAAAAGACAATCTACCAAGTGGGAGAAGATATTTTGCAAATTGTATATCCAATAAGGATATTAAAATCCAAAATATATGAAGAACTCACACAATTCAGTATCAAAAAAAAAAAAAAACAAAACCCAAACTGTCAGATGGCCCTGACCAGTGTGGCTCAGTTGGTTGAAGCATCCCCTAAACCAGAAGGTCATGGGTTTGATTCTCAGTCAGGACACGTGTCTAGATTGTGGGTTTTGTCCCCGGTTGGAGCGCATATAGGAGAGGCAACCAATCAATGTTTCTCTCCCTCTTTTTCTTCTTCCCTTCCCCTCTCTAAAATCAATGAGCATGTCCTCAGGTGAGGATGATAAATAAGTAAGTAAGTAAGTAAATAAATAAATAAATAAATAAATAAATGGCAGATGAACTGAATAAACATTTTTCCAAAGAAGACATACAAATGGTCAATAGGTACATGAAAAAGTACTCAACATCACTGTTATCAGGAACATGCAAATCAAAACCACAATGAGATAGCACCTCATAGTTGTTAGAATGGCTGTCATCAAAAGACAAAAGGTAAGTGTTGGGTAGGCTGTGGAGAAAGGGGAGCAGCACTTCACACAGTGGGAATGGAACTTGGTGTAGCTACTAGGGAAAACAGTATGGAAGTTCATCAAAAAATTTAAAACACAACTATCATATAATCCAACAATCCACTTCTGGGTATATGATGAGGCTTGACTGGAAAAAATCCAGCCTGTGTTAATATAACAAGATTGGTTTGTGCAACATTGATGGAACCTCAATGATGGCATTGATGGCAGCCAAGGAGAGTGGACTGGAATGTGCGTGTGTGAACAATGACAACTCACTGTGCTAGTCAATGGGGGCAGTAGATGCCATTGAGTGAGCACGTGCACTGTGTGGCTGTCACATTCAAAATGACTAAATGAGTAGAGCAATGAATCTGCATCAAAGTTTGTGTTAAGCTTGAACATTCCTCCATGGAAACTATTTCAGTGATTCAAAAGGCCACAGCTATGGACAACTGGTGATTGGCAGCTTCATCGCACAACACATCTGCTCGTGCATCATGTCTTGAGCAGAGTTTTTTGGTGAAACATTGAATCACCCAGGTGACAGCCCCCTACAGTCCAGATTTGACACCCTGCAACTTCTGCTCTTCCCAAAATTAAAATCACCTTTGAAAGGGAAGAGATTTCAGACCCTTTTTCTAACTTTGTTTCTTATTTAAAGCAAATACAAACCCTCCTCTGCAGCACCCAACATACCATATGCTTTTCCATTCCCTTATCTGGAATCTTCTTACACCATCTTCCACTAGCTGTGTGGCATTACATGAGTTAACCCCCCTGACTTTGTTAACTCACTTATGGAGTAGAATGATATTGTCTGCTTTGTAGGTATGTTCTGAGCAGAAAAATGAAAGTATGTATATACTGCAGTGCTCATAAGCGTGATGGCATTTAGCAGACATGCAATAATTAAACCACTAACCACAACTTATTTGAGTGAAAGGATCAAGAGAAAAAGTAGACTCAAAACATGTATGTGTGTGATTGTGCATATTTGGCACTTCTCTGTGGTATATGTATATGGTATTCTCTTACAAAAATGCAAAGGTGACTGTGTTTTCACAACTATACAAGTAAAGCACTTATGGTAAAACTCTGGTTTTTAAAAAAAGGAATAATATAAAGGGTGGGGTTTGTTTGGTTTTTTTGCTCCTTTTCCCAAATCTTTTTTTTTAATTTTTAAATCATTTTTTAATTTTTCAATTACAATTGACATACAGTATTTCAATAGTTTCAGGTGTACCCCAGAGATTATATAACATACTAAGTGATCATCCCACCATGTCTATACTCATCTGACACCACATGTAGTTAAAAGAATATTATTGGCTATATTCCCTATGCTGTACTTTACATTCCTATGATTATTCTGTAACAACCAACTTGTACTTCCTAATCCCTTCACCTTTTTCATCCATTCCTCCAATCCCTCTCACCTAACAACTATCAAAATGTTCTCTTTATCTCTTGAGTCTGTTTCTGTTCTGCTTGCTCATTTTGTTTTTTAAATCCAATTGTTAATCGATATGTATTTATTGCCATTTATTTTTCATATTTTTGTCTTTTTTCTTCATTTTAAAGAAGACCCTTTAACATTTCATATAATACTGGTTTGGTGGTAACAAACTCCTTTATCTTTTTCTTGTCTGGGAAGCTCTTTATCTGTCCTTCAATTCTAAATGATAGCTTTGCTGGGTAAAATGATCTTATCATAGGCCCTCACTTTTCATCACTTTGAATATTTCTTGCCAGTCCCTTCTGGCCTGCAAAATTTCTGTTGGGAAATCAGCTGACACTTTCATTGGAGCTCCTTTGTAGGTAACTAACTGCTTTTCTCTTGCTGCTTTTAAGATTTTCTCTTTCTCTTTAACCTTTTGCATTTTAATTATGTGTCTTGGTTTGGGCTCCTTTGGGTTCATCTTATTTGGGACTCGCTGTGCTTCCTGGACTTATAAGTCTGTTTCCTTCACCAAGTTAGGAAAGTTTTCTCTCCGTATTTTTTCAAATAGGTTTTCAGTTTCTGCTTTCTCTCTTCTTCTGGCACCTCCATGATGCAAATGTGGAGGTTGTTCCAGGGGCTTCTTACACTATCCTCATTTTTTTTTATCTTTTTGTTTGTGCTGTTCTGATTGGATGGGGTTTTTTTTCTTCCTTGTATTCCAAATTGTTGATTTGATTCTTGGCTTCATCTACTCTACTGTTGATTCCCCGTAAATTAATCTTCATTTCAGTTAGTGGATCCTTCATTTCTGACTGGTTTCTTTCTTTCTGACTGGTTTCTGTGTCCTTTTTTATGCTGTTGAAGTTCTGCTTTTTTAAAAAAACAGGAATAATAAGAGTTTTTGTAACTTCACACCCTCTAATGCAGGGGAGTCCAACCTGTGTCCCAGAGGCTGCATGCAGCCCAGTATGACTATGAATGTGGCCCAACATAAAATTGTAAATTTACTTAAAACAGTATGAGTTCTTTTGTGATTATATGTTGCATTGTATTCAATGTGCGGCCCAAGACACCTCTTCTTCTTCCAGAGTGGCCCAGAGATGCCAAAAGTTTGGACACCCCTGCTCTAAAGAACTAGAGAATCTCTTTGGGGGCTCAAAAAATAAATGAATTCAATTTCATCTAGTTTTGTTCCAACATCTGAATCATAGGGGTGCCAAAAGGAGAAGAAGAAGAGCAAGAAATTGAAAACTTATTTGAAAACATAATGAAGAACTTCCCCAAACTGATAAAGGAAATAGAGTTTCAGGAAGTCCAAGAAGCTCAGAGTCTCAAAGAAGTCGGACCCAAGGAGGAACACACCAAGGCTCATCATAATTAAGTTATCCAAGGTTAAAGATAAAAGAAGAATCTTAAAAACAGCAAGAGAAAAGGAGACAGTTACCTACAAAAGAATTCCCGTAAGACTATCAGTTAATATCAAAGGAAACCTTGCAGGCAAGAAGGGGCTGCAAAGAAGTATTTCAAGTCATGAAAGGCAAGGACCTACATCCAAGATCTATCTAGCAAAGCTGTCATTTAGAATAGAAGGGCAGATAAAGTGCTTCCCAGATAAGGTAAATTTAAAGGAGTTCATCACCAAACCCTTATTATATGAAATGTTAAAGGGACTTATCTAAGAAAAAGAAGATAAAAAATATGAACAGTAAAATGACAACAAACTCACAGTTATTAATGACCGAACCTAAAACAAAAACAAATGAACTAAGCAAACAACTAGAACAGGAACAGAACCACAGAAATGAAGATCACGTGGAGGGTTAGCAACAGGGGAGTGGGAGGAGGAGAGAGGGGGAAAAGGTACAGAGAATAAGTAGCATAGATGGTAGGTAGAAAATAGACAGGGGGAGGGCAAGAATAGTATGGGAAATGTAGAAGCCAACGAACTTATAAATATGGCACATGGACATGAACTAAAGGGGGGGAATGTGGGTGGGAGGGGGTATGCAGGGTAGAGGGGAATAAAGGGGGAAAATGGGACAACTGTAATAGCATAACCAATAAAATATATTTAAAATACTCACTGTGAAATAAAAGCAGATAAAAACCACAGAGCATGTCTTCAGGCACCACCCTAATATCCTAGGAATTAAAGGGAGTGCAGTTTAGAGAGCCCTGAGCCAAGGAGCCCCAAGGCCTGAGTAGGGCTGATTAGTTTCCATGTGAACCTTGGGACATGTCAAAGGCTAGGCATTCGTTGTGTTAGATTTAGAGGCCCTGGGAAGCCTGGAGGACTGCCCACACACCGTGTCTGTGAGCGTACCCAAAGTGCATATGCTTTCCTCACTTGTATACGAGTACACATTTTTAGGTTTTATTTTGCTCTTATATTTAATAGTTTGATAAAAGATTATCAAACATTTTCACCAGATTGCCTTCAAGTTTTTTCCTATTTCTTGATGTACAAAATCCATCTCTTCACTGAAAGCAAATCAGTAAGGAATAAAGTTGAAAAGGAATTCTGAAGTTTCTAGAAGAGTGACTGTCTCCAAGGGCTATTTATCCTTTTGAAGGGAGATGGCTAATCAGCTGGTTCCAAGATGCAACGATATAGTAACATAACCATCACCAGCACATTCTTTTTTGGAAAGTTTGCCACCCTTTCACGCAAATGTTATCCCCACTTCAGGAAAAATGTGTGTGTGTGTGTGTAATATTAATATATAGGAAGTAATTTTATCATTATACATTAAAAATTTTAAATATCTCTGTTTAATAGGATGATATGATTACTAAAAGAAGAGCTGAACTTCTAGCAGAGAGAGAGAGAAAAAAGAAAGAGGTAAGTAAAAAAGGTTTTTCCAAAAAAGCAGGACACCCATTGTGTGTGTGTGTGTGTGAACAGCAGAACATAAATGTTGCATAGATAAAAGTCATAAAGAAAATACAGTTTATGTGGAAGCAGTGATATTATATATCATGTTTATTTTTAATACCCTTTGTTATCCCATTACTGTTTACAATAATCTTTTATTATTTTTAAAATCTGAAAAATAAACTTTTAAAGGAAAGAAAACTACTAGAGATGTTTAAATAATCTAATCCAAATATAATTCTACATTAAACAATGCTTCCTGTAGAATTTTAGTTTTGCTTTCACACTTCCACCCCACACCATAGGAGACAGACTGGGAATGTGGTGTAGAGGTCTAGACAGAGAGCCTGCAGAACTGTGCTGGAGCTAAAATACACATTACCTCAAAGTAAAGAGGGGAATAAGGCAGAGCCTATGAACCTGGGCCATATATTCTGCAGCATGCTCAGTACAGCTCCTTCTCTCCATCTGCTGATTTTTTAAAAAACAACAAAACATAAACCTTGAAGACTAGATTTTGTTTCGTTTAGAGAGGAGCTATTCCCAAATTGGCCTTGCTGACCCAAATGCTCCGGCCAAGCCTGCTCAGGGGTGCAGGAGTTAAAGAGGAGGTGTGATCAGACCAGCTAGCTCTATGAAGGCCCTGAGGCTTGTATTTTTACAATCAGCTTACAAGTAAACATGTAACCAAGGCAAACAATAAGATAGTCTCTGCCTTCTTCCATTTCCTTCTTGTTTAAGGCCCCCTTGTAACATCTTATGAAGGCTGACTCTTCTGTAATGTGATTTCCATCTATATAAAAATTTAACCCAATAAAAGAGGAATAACAGAAAATAGGGCTGGCTATACATGCAACTATGTATCACCCTGGTGTGGATATGCCTGATTTATGTACAGAAGACTCTTGATACAATGTAACTGTAGCTATGTGTCAAAACATTGCAGAAGAGAGGCCAGAATAATTATGTCTGTGTCCAAAGTATTTACAACCAAAAGCTGATCTAAAACCATTAAACTGAGAAAGTTATGGCACCATCTAACGAATGAGAACTCGCCTCCTCATTTGTTTTGATCTTCATTCATCCAGTCAGTTCATCCACAAACCTTCACTGAGCATTCACTGTGTGCCTGACACTCTTTCAGACACTGAAGAATCAGCCATGAACAGAATTCACAGAAGTCTCTGGCCTCATTCTAATGCTCATTCCCTGAACAAGCATGTTGTGAAATTCTGGTCTGTCAATGATGTCATGCTAATGTCTCAGATAAAAAAAAACAGACATCCTAACCTGGGTCCAGCCACAAGTTAGCTGCCTTTAGCCCTTGGGAGTCCTTATGAATTACCTCAAATGTCTCAGGGACATATTACTAAAGGGTTACAGGCTTTCAGATGGAATTGACCTATATTGTGTAAGTGCTGCAGCTCTTCCTGAGTTTGCTCCCTGACAGCTACCCGGTGCGCACTGCAGTGCTGACACACAGTAGACACCAGCCTGTCGTTATTCTTTTGATGTTGTGTAACATAGAACATTATTTAATCTCTCTGAGCCTAGGTTTTTTCATTATAAAATTGGAAATTTGAATGATACCTGGTTTCCCTAGTTGATAATACTTTAATTTTCCTTCTTTGCTCTTCTTTAATTTTTTTCCTAAGAGAATTAGTTTTCCAGATAAATTTTAAATGTTCCTAATTTATAACTTACTCATTCATTAACATTAGAATGAGGAGTTTCTTATTATTTTTCATTCAAAGATCCAATATTCCATCTTATAAATTAAGTAAGTTTTTGTAAGTTAATTCTCCTTGGACTTACTCCTTTATAAAATTGGCTACATATCCCACACAAACTGACTTTTGGAAGACAATTCCTGAGATTTTTGATGAATCAAAGATTAAAGCTGTATAAGTTTTTTAACTCCTTTGATGGGAATTTTCTACGCCCTGCTACTGCCTCAGACAAAGAAACACTAAACAAAATATAGCATTTCAAGGACCACTCAGTGTGATTGCTGTAGTCAGTTAACGGGGTACCCTGAGTCGAGTCCATCCTGACTGCACAGGCTTTGTGAACAGAAACAGGAGCCTTCTCCTCATCTGCCTCTTTGCACTGGATGTGGAGCTCGGTGACTTACCTTTCACAACCAACTGGGGGACTGTATGCAGGTAAAGCCCTGCCCAGGGCTGCCTTCTCACCCTGAGCAAAAATCATTGCCTTCACTGTCTGACATTTTAGCAGCAGATAAAACATGTTAACATTAGAAACCACTTCAAAGTCTGAAGGTGACTACTTGCATTAATTTCTCAGGAAACTGTCACCATCATGCAGAACTTTAGTCTCCAAAGTTGTGACTGAAAATATTTTATAAGCCAACCCCCTTCATCTCAAGACTTACATTGCCTGTCCCCCACCTCCCGGGAGGACCTGCTTCTACTCTTACTCCTGGCTCCACGATCTTGGCTCTCTTCCTGACCCCTGGCTTCTCTGGTGCCTGTGTCCCCTCTACAAAGTGTGGAGCGGCCACAGATAGGAGAAAGCCAGGCAGAGCCAGGGTGGGGAACCAGGACAGCAAGCAAGCAGAATCGTGCAACACTATGCCCAGGTGAGTAGTTAGCAGAGATGCTGATACATACCCTAAGTACAAAGGTGAGCACAAGTTCATCTGAAACTACATTGTCCCCAGCTGGTAGTGTGGGCTCATCCACCAGTCTACCACCATACTTCCAACGATCTTTAGAAAATCAAATCTCAGGGAAAAAATTGTCAACATATAAGAAAAAGGGAAAAAGGGAAAAGTAGTAAGAGGACCAAATGGTTTCAAACTTCAAATGAAAAAGAACCAGAACTGAGAAACACTGCCCCATTGCCAAGCCTTTTCTGTGAGGAGGGAGGAGCATAGACATTGAGGGGAACTGGCCCTCACCCTCTCATCTGCCCTGCACCTTCAGTTCAAATCCCAGCTTCAGGCACTTTTTAGAAGAACTAGGGTCTAAGCAGTTAACAAAGATTAGGAAATACCAAGCTAATCAGAAGGCTCCGGCCAGAGATGAGAGAGCAGCCAGTGGGGTGAGACTGGAAAGGAGGGACATTATTTCAAATGACAGCCCTTGGGAACTCGATGTGCAGAGATGGAATGCAAGGAGACAAGATAACTTTTGGTTTCCACCTGGAAGGCAGCGCTCTAACTGAGACAAAGAATGCTTCCAGGAGAAGAGTTTGAAGGCAGTGTGGAACAATCAATATTACAGGGCTCAGTATTACACAAACTGAACTACAGCACTTAAAACCTATATAGCACCTAAATACCACTTAGTGTCAATATCCTGTCACAGGATATTGTATTATTCTTGTGTCCTCAGATAGGCTCTAACTTCTAGAGGGCATGTACTAGTCTATTAGTACAGTGCTTTACACAAAGTAACAATAATAGCTATAATAGCAATAATAGCTATCATTTGCATGCTTACCATGTGCTAGACACTCTTCTAAGGGCTTTACATATATTAATTTTAATGTTCCCAACAACTTTGTGAGATAAGTACTTTTATTATTCCTGTTTTACAGTTGAGGAAACTGAGCTTGTCCAAGCTAACACAGACAGGGAGTGTTTATACTCTTTGGGTTGCATTAGTTCTACTGAAAACCATCAGAAACATAATATTCTGACAACCATAGACGTAAATAGCATTTAATATCATGTCTGTGTGTTTCTTTATGGGATCACTATGATGTCAGAGTTTTAAAGGTATTCAATCTCTGGGTGCCAGATATTTAAAATATTACTATGTTATTAGATGAATGTTGCTGTGCCATACCAACTAAAATCCAGTTATTACAAAGTATTCCAGATGATTAGTTATCAGTGTCATTTGTTATATGTTTTATACGTATAATAAAAGGGAATATTTTCCTCCTTAGATTGTTAGAGAAGATGAAGATATTAGTGACGAAGACCCTGAAGAAGATGATGATGATATTGACAATATTCTTGAAGATGAATTTCCAAAAGATGAGGATCTAATGAGTGAGGAAGACGAAGAACAAGAAAGTGACGCACTTGAACGACTGAAAGGTGAACTGGGAGAAAAATTTGAAGCAGATATGCGTAATTTACAAGCAATACAGGTTATTAATTCTTTATTTTCATAATTTAAAAAAATGACATTTGAGTTGAAACAAAAGATATTTGATTTATGCCCTGGTTTCTTTTTAACCTTTCAAAAGAAATATGTATTTTAGGGCTATCTTCCCTTTTGTCAGCGCTACCTACAGTTATGAAAACAAGTTAATAAATAAGGGCAACATGGAAGCCACAGAGGGTTAAAGGTTCTAGCTGCCAGCATGCAGTCACACAGAAGCTGGAAAATATTTGTGCTCTAGACCGATGTGGTCAGTCACCAGCGATGTCTGTGTGCTGCCACCGAATACTACCAGCCCTCTTCCCACTGAAAATATTTGGTTTTATGCTTTTCTCATCAGAATGAATTTGACAGGTTTTTGATACCAGTAATTCTCATTAATGGAAGTCGGAAAATCCACATTGTACAATACATGTTGAATACAAAACTGAAACCACTGGTAGAGAATCGTGCAAGCATTTTTGAGAAGTGTTATCCAATATCATCACGCCTTGCCCAGAAAATGCTCAGCTTTACCTATAAATATATAAGCACATTCGGCTACTGGGATCCTGTAAAGGTAAGGTCAGGAAAGTAACGTCTGAAAGTTATGTTCTAGTATTTCTTTTTTTTTTTTTTTAGTATGTGTAGAGTATGTCTAAGAAGACAGTGGGCAATTTCAAAAATTGTAAACATTGCACAGTATTCTTAACTAGCTATAAAAATATGTGGTTGTTTTGCCTTTCTGAAGTGGGAAAAGTAGTTGAAAGGTTTAATTTCTTTTGTTTATTTCTGTAGAGATAGCCCAGTCCCAACTTGTTTTTAACTTTGTAGCAAAAGAAAATGGTAGTGGAAATATTTTCAAACTAAACATCTCGAGAGTTGAACTGTGACACTAATTTGCTACCTGATTTTAGGCAAGTCTTTTAACCTCTTTGATTCTGTTTCCTCACCTGTAAGATGGAAGAATAATGCCACCAGACCACTGTGACCAAATGTAAGAGTATTAAGTCCTCTGGAAAGTGTGAGACACAATTCAGAATGAGCCATTAATGTTCACAACAAAATTATTTTAAGTATTGTAATTTTATGCAGTCTGTACAAATAGATTTAATCCAATTGGAATTTAATAACTTCAAATGTGGGATGGTTTTCTTTTTTAATTTTAATTTTTTAAATTACAGTTGACATTCAATGTCATATTAGTTTCAGGTGTACAGCATAGTGGTTAGACATTTATATAACTTACAAAGTGATTCCCCCAATAAATCGAGTATCCACCTAGCCTCATACATAGTTATTACAAAATTATTGACTGTGTCCCCTTTGCTGTACTTTACATCCCTGTGATTACTTTGTAACCGCCAATTTGTACTTCTTAATCCCTTCACCTTTTTCACCCGGCTCCTCAACCCCCTCCCATCCAGCAGCCATCAGTTTGTTCTCTGTATCTATGGGTCTGTTTCTGTTCTGTTTGTTCATTATTTTGTTTTTTAGATTCCACATATAAATGAATTATATGGTATTTGTCTTTCTCTGTCTGACTTATTTCACTTAGCACAACACCCTTTAGGCCGCAAATAATAAGATGTCCTTCTTTTTATGGCCTAGTAATATTTCACTGTATATATGTACCACATCTTCATCCAGTAGTCTATTGATGGATATTTAGGTTGCTTCCATATCATGGCTATTGTAAATAATGCTGCAATGAAATAGGGAACCATAAATCTTTTCAAATAAGTGTTTTGGATTTTTTTGGGGGGGGATTTCTTTGGATAAACATCCAGAAGTGGAATTGCTAGGTCATTCTATTTTTAATTTTTTGAGGAATTTCCAAACTGCTTTTCACAGTGGCTGCACTGATTTCAATCCCACCAACAGTGCACAGAGATTCCTTTTTTTCCACATCTTCACCAACATTTGTTGTTTAATGATTTGTTGATGATAGCCAGGATGGTTTTCAGCAAATCTTAACCAAGAACATACCAGCCACTGTTCTAGTCCCTGAGAATAAAGTAGTGAACAAAACAGACAAAGTGTCTTCTATTGTAGAGCTTATATTCTAGTTGGGTTGGGGAGGGAGGATAGGCAATAAATAAGTAAACAAAGCAATAGGTTCTTGTCAAAATTAAGCACTACAACACAATAAAAGCATATCATCTAGTAGTGATCTGCTCACTCAACCAGGTTACCTTTGTATTTCTATCAGTGATATAGCACAGTGGAAAAGACCAGTGGTGCCTCTGGAGCTAGACTGCTTGAATTCAAAACCTCTGCTTACCAGCTGAATGCACTTGAACAAATTACTTAACCTCCTCTGAGCCATTCCCACTTATACAATGGGAATATGAATAGTCTCTACCTGAAAATATTGTTACAATGATTAAATGCATTAATTACTGTGAAGTGCTCACAACAGTGCTTGTTTTTTTGTAGAACTCAATTAATATGAGTTATTGATGTTATTAATATGTATTATTATTATTGATTGCTGATAAAAAGTATTTTGGAGGACAAAATGGAGCCATGTGCATGTCATTGATACTCAAAACTTCCTTCTCAGTTGATACTGTAAAACACAATAAGTTTCAATTCTAATTGTGCTATCCTCTTTATCTTAACCATAAGAGAAACCTTTTCAAACATCGTGCTAAAGTATAAAAACACTATGACAGGCCCCTCCATAGAGAACTGGATAGAGTTAAGCATGTATTAGAATCGCCTGGAAAGGGTGTGAAAATAGTCACGACCTAACATTCTCTCTGAGATAGGTAAGAGAGAGAAAGAAGCAGGCAAAGTCAGAAGTCTTATTTTGAGAGGAAAAACAAGCCCATGTGCAAACACAATTAGGATTGTACAAAAACACCTTGTAGAAAAGTGAGTGCACAGCCAGAGGGAGGGTTTAAGTGTGTGAGGAATCATTTGTAGGAGCTGCTGGGAACCTTTCTTGTTGCCTGGAAATTTGGTATTTCTGACTTTATGCCATCATGGGTATGAGTGTCATCCTACTGCAAGGATTCACACTTAATTTGGAAATTTGACATGGAGCCCTTAAACTTTCAGCTTTTCTGGTATTACCAAGTATAAAACATAGCACAGACATTCTCACCCCATTCCTGCGTTTCTCCCTATCTGAGGCATTTACTCCCTGACATAAATACCACTCCAGCCCAAGAATGATAATGTTGACAATACCACTGACTACTAACAACTGTGCCAGTGTAGCTCTGGGGGAGCGGCTGTTGCCATACTGTTTCACATCTCCTCCATCAAGGCCAGGGATGGCTGATGCCTGGCCATCTGGTGCTGTAAAAAAGACATGCAAACCTAGCATCAATACATTACCCAGCTCTCATCATCACCTCAGTCGTGTGGGACCCCTCCTCCCACTTCATTCCTCCCCTGCCCCTTACGCTGCCTTTTAGGTAGATTTTTTTTCCTTTTGTGGCTGCTGTTGATGAGGTGAGTGGCATTTGTCCTAGTAGTATGTCCTAAAAGATAAACTAGAACCACATTCTCAGTGTCTTTTCCTCTTCTTATAAGGACACCAGTCCTATTGGATTCAGGCCCCATTCTTGTGACTCATTTGACCTTAATTACTTCCTTGAAGGACTGTCTCCAAATACAGAAACTTTGTGTGTTAAGGTTTTGACCTATGCATTTAGGGGAACACACATCCATCCATAACATTACCTTAGTGATAGACCTATTTGTAAAGATAAATTGGCCCTTGAATATATCTAAACAACTTTATACTCCTTGGCAGGAACATTGAGTATATACACCAAAGACATTATAAAGGAGATCAAAGCACTCTCACAGTCATAAACTGAAAGCCTTGTATATGGGTATAAAATAATTTGTTCTTTTTATATAGTTTTATAAATATTAATATTTGATTATAATTAGTTTTCTTATTCTTATTTAACAAATTATTTTATTTTTAAATATATTTGGAAGAAATGCTATATGATTTAAAGCTAACTTTCTAATTTAATTGTATATATATTGCAGCTAAGTGAAGGAGAGACAATCAAGCCAGTTGAAAGTTCAGAGAATCCAGTTTATCCTGTAATCCATCGTCAGTATATTTATTTTTTATCTAGTAAGGAAACTAAAGAAAAATTTATGAAGAACCCAATCAAATACATTCGCCAACCCAAACCAAAGCCTAATATGCCCATTAAGATTGCAATTGTGGGGCCTCCAAAATCTGGGAAAACGACAGGTAAGGAAACGTTTGTCTTTGTTCCCGAGAAGCATCAAAGAACCCCCCCGAAAAGAGGTGCCAGTTCTTCAAGAAACCAACCATCCAAACTGACTCAGAGAGAGAGAGAAAACTTCAATGGGCCAATAACCATTTGAGAGAAGGCATTCAAAAATATGGCCCTGCTCTAAAACAGCCTGGGATCAGATGGTTTTAGAGAAAAATTACGCAAACTTTCAAAGGGTGAAAAACTCAAGAGATCTTTCCTGTGTTGTTATAGGCTCTTCCAGAGTGAGGGAAAAGACAGCTTCCTGACTTATTTTCAATTTCTTTTATTAAGGAATATGGTCCATATAATGCAAAAGATATAAAGAATACAAATTCATTTCTAAATTAGCATAATCCTGATATTAAAACCTAACAAAGGTAATACAAGAAATTATAAACTAATGGAACATAAACAGAGTCAAATAACAGTATATTAAGATATTAGCATAAAAATTATGTTAAAAATTTTGTAAGTCTAATCTACTGTATTAAAGTTGAAATAGTGAAAGTCTATTACCTTAGCTATTGCTGAATTGAATGAGGCATTTGGTAAACTGTATTCCTGTAATGTCTGAATTTTGTATAACTTTGGACTCTGTGTGTGTGTGTGTGTGTGTGTGTGTGTGTGTTTAAAGGCTGATAGTCCAACCATAGTTGGTGTAGTAAGCATTTCTAAGTGACATGCTCTCAACATCAACCGTATGTTGATTGTCATATGGTTGTCATAATGAGAATAGGAATGGAAAGGACAGATACAGGAGATCTTTGCAAGGAAAACAGTGGACTTCATGACTCAGAATAGAGAATGGAGGGCAGAGATGAGGTCAACGGTCAATTGGAATTTGTCACAGGAAAAATAGAGTGGAGTTTTATGTTCCACTCCTTCAGATGGAATTTGCTTTGCCATTTAAATTTCTTAACATGACGAGAGCCTTTAATAGTCATATTTAAAATTTTCACAAAGATGTTGATATTTCCCAAAGAAAGCAAAACATTGACATTCAATTAAGATTCCACAACCACAGCACAAAGTAAAAGTGGAGACAAGACCATCTAATTTCACATTTCTTTGTTGAAACAGAGGTTAATTTTTAAACAAAATGTCAAACTGTAAATGCTTAATTATTTTTAGAACTTTAAAAAATAGGTCTGATTCTATCATTTCTGGCAAAACTGAGGTTAAGGGTTCTGCGGCTCTCATGGGGGTTTCCCTTCTGCGGGATCTTAACTGTAGTCAGTTCACCTGCATTCCCATGGGACGAGGCGGGCTCTCTCAGTGTCCCCCATGCTGCTGTCTGCAGACAGCGATGAGACAGGGCACACAGACCCCAGGAAAGCATGCCCACACTTATGCTAGTTCCTGGAAGCCATGCCTCGGTCTCATTTAGGAGAAGCAAAGCCAAGGTGAGTTTTCTTTCAACCAATGGTGACATCTGTGTAACATTGGACAAATCATCCCATTTAATTGGGCTGCAGTTCTTTCATGTATAGAATTGGAATTTCAGTATCTACTGTACCCATCTGGTGGGATACTTGAAAATATCAAAGTCACAGAAGAAAAATTACCTCATAAGCTGTATATTACTATGAAAATGTCTGGTATGCCATTATAATTTTTCAAAGTTGTTTCTTAGGGGATTAAGCATATTGGACATAATATTGGCATATTGGATGAGTTATTTTGGACATAATACCAAATATTAGTACTATACATAGGATGCCTCGTAGTTCTCAATAATTTTACTACCTCATGAAAGAAGAAAAACTTAAGTGTTGGTTTGGTTATGAGAAAAACCCACAGAATTGGCTCATTACCCAGATCTGTCAGCCATATATACCTGAAGTACTGATAATGATTGACCTTTGACAGTATTAATTCAGTGAAATGTAGCAATTTTAATTTTCAAAATGTTTTTGAGGAATATGAAGATTAGTTTGCTGTTGATATCAGTTAATCAGAATCTGCAACTAAGATTAACTGATGAATTTATGAAGTGAAGTAAGTTTAAAAGTTTTAATGTTTTTCAGTTGCCAAAACCATTTCAAATGAATATGGCTTAAAGCGTTTGTCAGTAGGAGAAGCTCTGCGTTACGTGTTAAACCACCAGGCAGACACAGAGCTGGCGCTCATGTTAAACTGGCATCTTCATAAAGGAATGACAGTGCCTGACCAACTGGCAACTCAAGCCTTAGAAGTGTCTCTGATGGGAAATGCGTGTAATACTGCAGGGTGAGTAGGGGCCTCGAGGGGTCAGTTAACTCTCAAGAAATGATTCACTGGAATTTAAAACATTTATCTTAAATAGGGTTTAAAGCTCCTATAAAAGGTGTGATCTGCTTGTTAAACTTTAGGCACCTATATGGTCACATATTTTACTTTTCTGTCAGGCTAAACTTGGCTTGAGCACTACATGCCAGAACAACCAGCAGGCCACTGTACTCCCTGCAGCAACTTTACTAGTATAAACTTATAATTCCCTTTTTATCATACATTTCTGTGTTATTTTCTTAGTGATTCCCCTGAAGATTTCAATTAAGATCTTAAAACAACCTAGTTCAAGTTAATAGTTGATGCCGACATCGGCCTGCAGTGTCCACATCATTATGGATGAAATGAGACATTCACACTGACTACCGAGTCCTGTGGAGGAAAAGGGACAGCATGGCTTTTCTCTCAAGGGGTGCAAAAGCCGTGGCCTCCGCCATGAGAGGCCTTTATTTCTATCTCTCCCACATTATAGGAAGATCCTCATTAACTATGCACAGGTTTGCTTTAGGTGGTTACCTTTTAAGAAGCCAATCCACTAATCACATCACAGAAAAGGGATATTTGCAAATGAAAAGGCAAAAGTAGTTGAATGGGTTACACTCACCCTTGGAAGGTTTAGCATGGATTTTAAGAAGTTACTTTGCAGTAAATGTCCTCAATTCAGGGTGAGGGAGTTTTAGCAAAAAGCAAGACTCATAGCAGCCTAGGTACATTGCAGGCCTGATTCCCCACAGGAGAACCTATCCGTAGGCATGGGTCCTGTGCATCTCCCAGTGGGAGCTGGACCCATGCCATGCAGAACTGTCTCCTACAGCCCTTCCCTGCAACTGGTCCTTAATCAAATCCTTGGACAGTTCTCCTACTCTCAGTTATGAAGGAGCAGATTCTGGGGGTCAGATGATTTTTTCCCAGAGAAGGCTTTGAGACTTTTGCAAATTGAGTTACCTCCTCCCTGTTGTTCAGCCTTGCATACAAGAAATCTCAATAAGAGGAATCTTGGTTGAGTCCTAAAGATTTTATTTCACTTTAATGCCAGGAGAGTGACTACTTATTCACCCTCAATTTCTATATTGAGGGCCCTTTGAGTGACCCTTCATGAGACAGAGAAGCTGAGCCACTGTCCATTAAAGGCAACAACAACGACACCCCATACATTGTCTGTTAGGCTTGCCCAGCTACGTGAACTTATGATCCTCTTGGCCATGGAGTATAGAACTAGTTAGTACCTAGAGATCTGGCTGGACAGCATTGAGTGAGGGCATCCTGTGACTTACTTCAAACCAGCCCCACCTGATGACCATCAGCTAGCACTCCCCTGACTTTGGGGGCCACTTCTCCCAGAATTTGCAAACAGCTTTCATTCCTTCTCTCAGTTTGATAGTAACACTCCCATTATTTCGAGCTGTTGGACTAACAAATTCTTCTCCAGTTCTATTCAGTGGCATGATGGGCCTTGATAGGACGATTCTCTTCCAGGTATTATGGGGCTCCTCTCACCAGCTCTGTCTCCCCTTCCACACACCCAGCCTCCCTAATTGAATAACGCAATATTCAAGGTATTGTGTGTGTTCTCTCTCGAATCCTAAGATTCATGCACTTAGGATGCTAAGTGTATGAATTCAGAGATGTTTCCCTATGTATGCTGCCCTCCTCCTGGGTCTTGGGCTGTCTGAGATTAAAAATACAGATAGTCCTGACCTGTGTAGCTCATTGGTTGGACATTGCCCTTTAAAGCAAAAGGTCAGGACTTTGATTCCCAGTCAAGGCACATGGCTGGGTTGTAGGCTCAGTCCCTGGTCAGGGTGTGTGCGAGAGGCAACCGATCAATGATTCTCTTACATGTCGGTGTTCTCCCTCTCTGTCTTTCTCCCTTTCCCTCTAAGAATAAATAAATAAAATCTTTAAAAATGCATGTATGTAGAGAGAGATAAAGAGATGGAGCACAGAGAAGATGAATCAGGTTACATAAGGAAGAGCATGAGGCTACTCCTAAAGAGATAGACTTGTTCCAGAAGACAGAAAGGGAGGCATGAGAGAAAAGAAGTCTGGAATTTTTGTTTTCATGTCTCTCCTTGTTAGTGTTATCATCGACGGGTACCCTGTAACTGAGCATCAAGTGAGCCTCTTGGAAGACAGGTCAGTCACCCCCCTGGTCATCTTGGAGCTGGATGTGCCTTCTAAGGAGATTTTCAAAAGATTGCTCTTGGAAAAAAAAAATAAACCAAGGTAATGGATGTGATAAAAACAGTAATTAAGGAATGCACTTTAATGATCTAGGAAAGATGTCTTAAACAGCTTTTTCCATTCCTTCTCTGTTTCTCTATTAGTTTGCCTTACCCACTGCACAACAGCACAAAGATTATAGCTGTCAGGTACTCAAAGTACCACAAAAACATTGTTGCGATTAGGCAATATTATCAAGAACAGCACCAGAACTGGTATGTGATTGATGGATTTCACAGCAAATGGTGGGTGTGGAATGAAGCCATTAAAAACGTTAAAACAGTGAATAGATACATGCAGATATACCTGGAAAGAATAAAAGCAGGTGAGAAAACATTGTTAAAACAGAATAAGATGTGAATTTAAAGTCTACGTATGCATGACTCATGTTACTCTAATTCATTCAAATTGAACATTTGTTCCCACAATTTTAATCAGTATTTAAAAATATAGTACTATCTAATTTTTGTGGGCATATATATTTGTTTTAATAAATGACTGCTGCTATTCAAGCTATCATTATTGAGTGCCTGTGGGAACCTCGCACATGCAATAACATGTGGCCTTCCACTCAAAGGGTTTACGGTGTTGGGGTGCTATCTGTGTACAGCTTCCCAAGAAGAAGCCAGTTTCAAGCACGGCGGTTGTATGAGGGCAGAGGTCTGTGGAGCGACACTTGCCCAAATTTTGTTTAGGGATCTAGAGTCCAAGTTATCTTTACTATTTACATTCATAATGATGCTATGTAAATGTTGAGTCAATAAAAATTAAACTTGAGCACAAAATCTGTGTTCATCTATATTTGGAATCCATGAAAGAAAATGTTTGATTATATTTCCTATAAGTTTCTTGATTTTCCTCCAAAAATACCCAAAACAGAAGAAAAGTTATCTGTGTCTTATGTATCTAAAACCAGCGATGACTCCAAACACTTTATCTGTAGGGGTCTTACAGACATTCGTTCAATGACTTTGTTTAACTTTGGAAACTACAGAGAAGTCATAATAAGGTGTGAGAGAGCAGCTCTACTAAGAGAATCTAGCACAAGTAAAAATGCAGTGAGGATACTGATAATAACTGTATCATTGAATCTTGACTTGCTTCATTGTCCAGGCTTAACCATTATCTTTGGTTCCTGTTTGTCTGCAAATTGGAAGTTTGTTTTCACCTGAGTGTTATAAGGCATGAAGATAAGAATGTAAGGGAAGGAAGAACTGAAGTTTTAGGAACCTATTCAAAACAAGTTTTGGATAGCATCACACTAGCAAAACATTCCACAACAGACTTTTAAAGCAAAAATCATGTCTCATTTCTTTTTCTATTACCTTATTTCACCCTCCCTGCCTTAGATTGGGTTCCCTGGAAACAGACTCAAGATGAAAAACAAAATAGAAACAGAGGCATGGATAGGTGGAACAGACTGACAGTTGTCGGGGGGCGGGGGGCACTGAATGAAGGGATTAGCCAAAGAACATACATGAAGGACCCATGCATGGACCAGGACAGCAGTGTGGTGATAGCCGGAGGGAAGGGGGCGGGGGCTGGGTGGAGGTGGGCAAAGGGCGAAGGGATGCGGACATCAGCAATAGTGTGAACAATTATACAGATACAGAAGCTTCATCAGAAAGGAGTGTCAGGAGCAGGGGAGTAGAGTTGCCAGATTTAGGAAATGAAAACAGTACCATGGCTGGTGTGGTTCAGTGGGTTGAGCACCAGCCTGTGAACCAAAAAGTCACTGTTTTGATTCCCAGTCAGGGCACACACCTGGGTTGCAGCCAGGTCCCCAGTTGAAAGTGTGTGACAGGCCACTGATTGTACATTGATGTTTCTCTCCCTTTCTCCCTCCCTTCCCCTATCTCTGAAAAAAATTTAAAATCTTTAAAGAAAAAAGTACAGGATGCCTGGTAAAATTTAATTTCAGGTAAACAACAAATAATTTGATAGTATAACTATGTCCCAAATATTGCATGAGACACACAGTATTTTGTCTGCCAACCCTAACGATATCCCCCTGTGGGGAAGGGAGGACAGTAGGACTGGGCAGACGGAAAAACTAAACTGCAGTGCCGTGGGAACTGAAGACTCAGTAGATCCTATGGTGGTAGGGAGGCTTGGATAGATTTTCAGAGTTTCCCAAATTACGGAGAAGGGCCAGACTTCATTTACTCCCATTAGTCTGCTGTTGACCCATAGGTCACTCTGGAAGGAGGCACAACCTGTGACAGGGACATTCCAAGTGCAGCTCTGAGCCAGCAGCACCGATGTTCCCAGCAGCTAGCGGGTGGGTACCTGAGCACTGAGAAGGGGTCTGGGTGGGGTGCCCTGGTGTCCCCATCACCCCAATACACTTGGCCTCTGCCTGGAGTCATTTACTCTAGTCGAGGTCTGCCCCTCTTGCTCTTCAGCTTCTACTCACACCTAATAATCTAGCCTGTGACCAGTTCTTTGAATTTTGTTTTATTTTTTTTTCTTTCTACATTTCCTTTGTATGCTATTCAAATGATCCTCCCCAGTCAGGAGCCAAGGTTTGCTCTGCTAATGAGATGGGGCAAAGTCAGAGCGAGAAGAATAAAGAAATTCTTCCTCATTCTGCCACATTCCAGAATAGAATCTATAGATATTGACAGATGTTTCACAGATATCCCAAGAATCAGAAAAAGATATTTAAGTGTCACTTAGGACTTGAAGTCAGGTGATTTTAAATTACTAAATCTGTCAGAATCGGTGAGGTTCAGCACATCCCAGCTGAAGAGCAACCTATAGAACCCTATAGTATAACACGATAGCACTATATATACTATATACTTCAATAATACCATATACCATTATATGGTAACACTGTACATTATAATACTTTAAAATAATGTTATACCACTATAGTATTATAGTAGTGTAATATTCTTTGTAAGAAAGGGATACTGGAGCTTTTTAGTTTCTTCTCTGCTGTTCATAAGCAGCAGGTGGACTAGTGGATTAGTTTGTCTATTGCTGCATAACACGTTACTCCAAAACTTGGCAGCTCACAACAGCACACACAGTTTCTGTGGGTCAGGAGTCTGGGCGCAGCTTAACTGGGTCCTCTGCTTCAGGGTCTCTCGTAAAGCTTCAGTCCAGGTATTGGCCATGTTGGCCAGGACTGTGGCCTCATCTGAAGGATCAGCTGGGAGCCTCGCTCATGTGCTGTTGACACAATTTTGCCCCAATTTTGCCCCTTGAGGACTGTTGGACTGTGGGCCTCAGTTACGTGCCATGTGGACCTTTCCAACACAGCAGCTTGCTTTATCCAGTGAACAGAAGAGGGGGCAAGAAAGGGTGCCAGCAAGGCAGGTGCCACAGTCTTTTGTAACTGCTTTAGTTTCCTAAGGCTGCTGTAACAAAGTACCACAAGATGGGTGGCTTCAACAACAGAAATTTATTCTCTCACAGCTCTGGAGACTGGAAGCTCAAAATCGAAGTGTTGAAAGGACAAAAATCTCTCTGAAGGCTCTGAGAGAACATCTGTCCCATGCCACTGTCTCTGCTCCCAGTGCTCTCAGCCCTGCACTCCGGGGCTTGCAGACACATCACTCGGATCCTGAGGATAAAATTTCTCTGTTCATATTATCAAATAACTGCTTTATAATTTCATAGTTAAGACCTTCCTAGGTATAATTTTAAAAAGGTAAGCCCTGACCAGTGTGATTCATTAGGTTGGGCATCATTCCAAAATATGAAAGGTCACCAGTTTACTCCCAGGTCAGGGCACATGCATTGGTTGTGGGCCAGGTCCCTAGTTGAGGATGTGCAAGGCAACCAATCAATGTTCCTCTCCCTCTTTTTCTCCCGCCTTTCCCCTCCCTCTAAAAATAAATAAATAAAATCTTTTTTTTTTAAGGTAAAACCTTTCACTGTTAAGAAGTACCATTAACAAAATATACTGGGGTCAAAATTTACTCATTATAACTGGGATGTAAAAAAAAGCAATTTTATTTTCTTTAATATCTTGTTTTGAGTCCCCATTCCAGTGGAGTATTAGGGAGAAAACTCTTAAACTTGTCCATTGAGAAATTTGAGCTCTGTATATTTAAAATAGATTCCTTAGGGTAAACCTACTGTATTTTTCAGAGTATAAGATGATTCCCCCAAAATTTGGGAGGAGAATGGGGGTGCGTCTTATAGTCCAAATGTAGCTTACCTGGCTCGCTGGTGCGGGGTGGGGGCAGGGGCAGGGGGCTATGTTATTTATGTTATTTAATATTTTACCACATTTTTTGCTTCAAATTTTTTTTCCTATTTTCCTCCTCTAAAATGTAGGTGCATCTTACAGTCCAAAAAATACGGTAGTCACTTTGGGATAAATGTTTCTTCACTTCCTTTAAGTGGCATCTGGGCACAGGGGCAAGTTTGTGTCAGTAACAGCATGTCAACAAACCATTTGCACTTCCTCAAATCTATCCATAGAAAAATGTAAAATATGATGCAAATGTATATGTGATTGGATGTATATGTGTAGATATACATATGTGTGTGTATATATGGTTAATATAAATAATTTATAATAGCTAAGAATTAAAAACAACCAAAATATCCATCAACAGAAAAATGGTTAAGTAAACCATATGTATATTTATACAATGGAATACATGCATCAACTTTAAAAATTAGGTAGGTTATATAACCTGGTATGAAAGACCACAACTAACTAATTAAAGCAAGTTGCAGCATAAGATTTACAATATAGTGGTGGAAGCACACTATATGCAAAACACATGTACATGCGATTGTACAGAAAAAAGTCTGAACAGGATGCAAACAGCAGTGGTTACCTTAGTCGGAACTGTGAGGACAATGGTCTGAAGAGAAACTTACTTTTTGCTCTACTGTTTGGAAATTTACAATGCGTGTGCATTTCTATAGTGCTGTGTAATTGAAGGTTGTTTTAATTTAAAAAATCATTGTGCTTTCTATGAAAAAAAGTACATGTAATAATAGTCTGTTATACTAGGGAAAGCTGCCTGCATTGACAAGCTGTGCATCACCTCTCAAGAACTGATTTCCCGCCTGGGCGAATTCGGACAGTTCTGCCCTGTCAGCCTGGCAGAATCACACGAATTAGTCGATTGCTCTGTAACTGACTCTTTGGAATTTGCGGCAGAGTTCAGAGGGCATTATTATAAAATGGATTCTCGGAAAAAACTGAATGTAAGTTTATTCCTAACTCCAAATATTTACTAAGGAAAGAAAATTCCTGTCTCAGAATTCATCAGATAGGAAGGAGTAGACACAGTGGTCCCCAGAAACTGGGGACCAGAAGCCTCATTATTGAAACCTATGGTTCTGGGATCAATGAGACAACTCAGAGGCCAGTCCTGGGACTGCATCCCAAAACATATTTCAACACAAAACAGAAGTTGAGGGTCGGTGATGGGCCCTCAGCCTGAGCCAGTTTAACAGGTAGGGAGACCCAGTGGTGAGCCTCACCAATAGAAGGGATGCTGGCTGAGCATCAGGGCTCCGCCCACAGAAGGGCGTCCAGGGCATTCAGCTCCAAGAGTACAGAAGGGAACTCGAAATCAGTGGAAACGAAGTAATGTTTCCTGTGCTTTAATTTTTTTTCCTATCACTAGAATTCCCAGTATACCTTGTATTTCTGTTTAATGGAACAGAATACAGATTTGTTCTAATATTACAATGTCCATGATGTGATGACATAAAAAGATTGGTAGTTAAAAACTAAACGGATGCCTCCGAACATTTTATTTTCCTCCAAAGAATTAGATTTTGTAATCACTTAATCAAGGATACCTTTGTTTATTTCTGCTTATTTAAATAATAATCACAGAATTTAAAAACTGCAGGTGACATTGGAGATCATGTATCTGGTCTGTCCCCTCCATTTTATAGAGTGATAACTGAAGCTGGAAAAGCTATCTCACCTGGCAAGAGGCACACAACTAGTTAATTATACTACAGGACAGGAAGACAGGTGGGCAGGGGACTGTGTGCTCTTGAGTGCCTGGCACATAGTAGGAGCTCCACAAAAATTTTTTGTGTTAATGAGTTAGAGAGAGAGAGAGAGAGAGAGAGAGAGAGAGACTAGGAGAGACAGATGCATCACTTGCGAGTGTTCCTGGAAGGAACTCGCAGCCGGGAAGGAGTGATTGTCTGCTGGAAGCAGCTCTCCGGTGGTTTGGGAGACCAAACATTGCTGCTGAAAATGGGGGAGTGCTAGGAAAGTCTCAGTGGGTTTTTGATTGACATGGTATTCCTGTTTTAAATAGTCTTATTGTTGTAATCCTTTACAGAAATTTTTGGAGAACCCAGAATTATATGTGCCTCCATTAGCACCTCATCCACTCCCACCTGCTGACATGATCCCCAAAAGGCTGACGCTGTCAGAGCTGAAGAAACGATTCCCTAAGTGTGCTGAGCTCCAGGGCTACTGTCCAGTGACCTATCAGGATGGAAATCAAAGGCAAGTCCTCCTGCAAGTGCAGCGTGATGTCTCCACTCAAAATAAGTGGTTCATGTAACAATCTTAACATTGTGGTCAAAAGGTCACTTGTTTAACAGGAAAATATTCTATTTCTTCCTTGAGTTGCATAGGTAGAAAAAGAAAATATTTCGACATTTTATTTATACAATACTGCATATTATTTATGCTGTAGTTTTGTTTTTGTTTTTGTTTCTTTGTCTTTCAGATATGAAGCCCTAGTACCTGGTAACATTAAGTATGCCATAGAATATCGTGATCGTATATATATTTGTGAGAGTAATGAAAAACTTCAGAAATTTTTGAGGTGAGACCATTTGATAAGTCACATATTTCTTGAATATCTTCTATGTTCAGTGCCCCATGCTGGAATATATATGTGTACACATGTACACACACACACATACACACACATCTGTATGTACATATATGATGGTGAACAAGGACTGATCACTGCTGTCCCGAAGCCGGAGGCTCAGAGGTAAAATAGACTTTAAGTATCTGATAAGAAAACAGAATGTGAAGGGGTTCTGGATGGGGAAATGCCAGGAGTTCTGGGAAAGTGTGCCCCAAAACCTGACTAGATTGTCTGTTCGTATAAGACCTAAATGCGAAGTGGAAATTGGCTAGAGGAAGAGAAAAGGGACAGGTTCTAAGCAGAGGGACCTACAAACCTGGCCCGGTGAGCACAGAACTGCAGGAAATCTGGCGTGGCCCGGGTGTGATGTGGAGAGGGAAGGGGCAGGAGGCGAGGCTGGAGACAGTGAGCCAGACCTGGGTGTGGAAGGTCAGGTGGAGTCACCATAAATCATCTGGACTTGATCCGATGGGCAGTCCGAATACAGGGACTGGTTCTGAGTGCTGTAATCAAATTTGCTTTGAAGAGAGGCCATCACTGGAATGTTGATAACGGATTGGAGGCAGAAACACCAGGAATACTGTTGGAATAATCCTGTCCAAAACAATATAGCATGTTTGATGTCACTCATGAAGATTAATGAAATAATAGCAGCAGGCTTAAGACAAGCCCTGAGAATCACTGACAAACAAGTGTCGGAAGAAGAGCTTACAACGGAGAATGAAAGGAAGAACCTCCAGAGGGGTGAAAAGAGACCCGGGAGGGGAAGCTTGGGAGGTGATGGGGAGAGAAAGTTTCTGGGAGGGTGTGCCAAGAGGTTTAAATGCTGCTCAGAGGTGAAGCAAGGCAAGATTTGAAAAGTGTTTCAGATGTAGTTTGTAACAGGTCATCAGTGTTCTTGGCAAGAATGATTCCAATGGAGTGAGGTAAGTGGCGAGTTGCAGAGTGCCAAGGAGTGGGTGCGAGGTGATGCAATGAAGACCTTGCCTGTGGCCCAGAGGTCACAAACACAGAGGTCTGCAGTGCCAGGAAGGTGGAGGAAGTGAGGGAGCAGGGTGGGTGTGAAGCAACGGACGTGGGGGACTGCTGCACCCGGGAGCGCACGTGTGCCACCCGAAGGGGCAGCGGCCCCTCGTCTGCTGCCAGACATTTCCGTTTTTCACAGGTTGGAAACTAAATCCCTTTTAGTTGTACTTTTCTGATTTTTAAAATATTTGTGATGGATTCAAATTTTAAAATACTGTGTGAATCCAATCACATCCACAGGCAGAATCTGTGCAGTGGTAGTGAAGCGCAGTTTGAAGTTTAACTGTTAAAAAAAGAGAGAGAGAGACATGAGTTGCTGGAAGAGAGATGAGATTGAAGGACTGAGGTGGTTTTTCTTTTCTTTTTTCAATGGGAGAGGTTTGAGCATGTTTAAAGGCAGATGCATTTAACGTTTTCAGTAGAGAAGTCAGTCTCTGTTAAAGAAAGAAACCTCCCCCTGTACATCTAATGCATGGGAAGGAAGTGGCAAAGGTGAGAGGGAGAAAGAAAGCCTGTGTAAGGCACCTGGAGACAGGGTAGTGGGGGAGGTAAACTTTGCCATGGAAAGGGGAGCCTGTAGGGGGCTTTGCTGGGGACAGGCAGATGAGCAAGTTCCTTTCAGAGAACTTCCCTTTGTATAGCATGGCATCTATGTAGGAGGTTATTTGGGAGAGTCAAAAGTTTGCAGGAAACAAAGAAAATTTTATATAATTGCTGTGAAAAGTAAGGGAATAGGCAAGCAGGGCTGGGGACCGAGGCAAACATGATGGTCACAGATTTCTAGGAGCACCAGTCTTCCCACTTGGATCACGTTCTCCAGTGGAAAAAATGGGCACTGAACTTTACCTTTCAGTTGTCTCTTGTATATCTACTTTCCTGTATTCGCACATTGAGTGTATCTGAGGGCATCTGACTAATCAACTCTGTGTTCTTAGGTTGCCAGGGAAATACTGGGATCAGAAGCTTCCATACAAACTTCCCCCGTTGAAGGAACCGATAAATCTCACTAGTCTTCCTTTGCCTGGATATCTGGAACAGGTTCAGTCACATGATTCTCTCTCTATATACACATATATATACACATTAGAAGATACAACGATCTCTTCTTTAATAGTAATTTTTATTTTGGTAATGATGAAATTCAAGACAGAATTTTCTCATTTTAAACTGCAAATCCACTTTTAACCTATTTTATTTATGGGTGGTTATGAAATAAGATATATAAAATAGCTGGTTCCCAAATACCTGCACTAAGGTGAGAAGAGAGTAGATTGTTATAAAATTATTTACATTTGACATGGAGTTTGGCTCGTATTTTGAATTTCAGTGCCTGCACAACATTGTCTTATTTAAAATGTACAGATTCTGGGTCCAATAGGCTTACTCCTTGCTTCAGAGCTGAGTTACACTGTCACTGAAGCTGTCTACTGTAGTGACATTTTATTTGTCTAAATATAACTCTTTTTACACATAGTAAAGCTTAACAGTAGCCAAACACTGTTTTTAATTCTCTAAATAAATGCCCAGGGCACACTTTCATACCTTTCTCATGAAAATTCTTAACCACTTTTTTTTCAGCTCTCCTAGATGTTTGGCCTTCACTTAAAAACAGAACACAAGCTGCAGCTCACCCAGAGAGGGTATTCTTATAGCGGCCAAGTTCCATCAGGGGGCCTCCCACTTCCTGTGCCTGCTCGGGCTGCAGAATCTTGACGCAGTGATCTCTGCGGTCTCTGAAAGTCCTTGTCAGGTGGCCAGGGGTTCTGACAGTGGTAGGCAGTCTGGCCAGGTCTGAGCAACCGAGGCAGAAATGGGCCAAGACAACTCAAAGTCCAGTGTTGCCTTCTTTCTTTTTCAACTTTTTGCTATGCAACATGTCAAATATATAAAAACAGAGAATTTTGTGATGAAGCCCATGTACCCATCACATAACTGACACTAACCCAATCTGTGATTTTCATTTTTCCTAATCAAATGTATTTTGGCTTCCTTTTCTGTCGGTTAAGTGGTCATCTAACCATCTTCATAAGTGCCATTCTCAACCCCAGGAGGCTATTAGAGGCAAAGAATAGCCTCTTTATCTATTTGCCACTAAGAAAATAAACCAAAGTCAAATATGTACATGTTTACATTGTTCCCTACCTGCAGGGTATTGCAACTTCTCTGATTAAAGCAATGAATGCAGTAGGATGCTTAAAGCCCAAATTTCCCTTCTTAAGTATAGAGAAATCTGCACTGCTCTATATAGCGTTTCATCTAAAAGGTATGTCTTTTTTAATGATACACTATTCAAAAGTAATTCAACACTAACTGTAGTATATGTGATAAATAGGACTGTTAAGCTGGGCTCGTCTCTTGAATGGTGTGTGTACATATGTGTACATGTGTGCAAATATCTTAACGAAAAAACCAAAACTGAATTCCTGGTTTTTAAAGCAGGGACTCTGAGTAATATAGTCAGCTCTCAAAAATTCATGCCACAGAGGAAGGTGAAAAGGAAATTATGATCGAAAATAGAATAATCCATAAATTTTACTGGGGTTTGGTTATCTTCTTAGCTCAGTCACACACACACTTCTCTTTCTCTGTAATTTAGTGATTTACTAACCTAACAGAAAACATTCACAAGTCTGTGAAATTTTCTACAGCCTTTAATCCCAAAGGTTCTGAATATACAAGAAAAAAGTATAAGAAGAAGATGGAGCAGTTTACAGAGAGATGTGAACTCATTACATACCTGGGTGCCAAGATGACCAGAAAATACAAGGAACCTCAGTTTAGACCAATTGACTTTGATCATAAATTACAGACCTTTATCTCTCTTAAAAATATAGACCCAATTAATGAATAGTGTGCAACCAGATTGTCAAGAGTTATCTGAAAGACGTAAAAGGAAAGAGAAGTTGAAAGCCGGCCCCTCTGAGTGGTGCCCCACAGCTGCCAGACCTAAAGGACTCAACTTCTGCCCCTCGGGGAGGAGTGCTCTCCTGTAAGCATGTTTCAGTACAAGTTTAAAGTTTACTGCTCTTTGTCTGAGATTTGATTCTGTAATACATGGTTATTCAGACTACCATTTAGAATATTTAGGTAATTCATTTTACTTAATAAATCTACTGTTCATTTTTCTTTTTAACATTTTCAGTAGAAAAGTCAGTCTCTGTTAAAGAAAATTACTCAGCAAATGTTAGAAAGCTCCAAGAGACAAAATTAACATTTATATCAATAAAACAGAAATATTGGTTATACTTTTGAAATATGGAGGTGTTTGTAAACTATGAACATAAGATACTTCATCATTTTCCCAAAGAAATAAATGGATTTTGAGATAACTAAATAGCTGTCTTTTTTCTTTTTCTTTAACTATGAAATGCAGTATGCTTTATACATTATTTTGCAATTAAAAATCACCTGGGGTTTTGAGAAGGATGAAATTCAGAGTCTTATATGACATTATCAAGTAGTATATTCAAGAGGAAGACTTATTAAATTGAATTTGAAAGAGATTTTTAAAATAAGATTATCAATTTTTTAGCAGCAGCATGAGAAATCTAGAATGTGAAGTAGCAAGATTGGCTCTTTAAAAAATAAAAAATGCAACCTGTGTAATCTTAGGTAAAAAAGGCTCAATTTCTCTAAGCCTTTGTTTCTTAATCTCTAGAATTAGTGATTTATCTCTGTTCAGCTTTCTTAAGTTATAACTGCCAAATAAAATCATACATACTTAAAGTGCACAACTTGGTGATTTTGTTGTAGGAATACATCGTGAAATATTTGCCACAATCAAGTTGACTAATACATCCGTCACGTCACAGTTGCTGTGTTGGTGTGTGTGTTTAGTTAGAACATTTAAGAAGCAAATTTCAAGTATACGTACTCTATTAACTATAGTCACCATGGTATACATTAGAGCCTTGGAATTTACTCAGCTTATAATTGAAAGTTTGTACCATTTGACCAGTATCTCCCCATTTCTCTCACTTCCCAGCCCCTAGCAACTACCATACTACTCTTTGCTTCTATGAATTTGACCTTTTTTAAAAATTAGATTCCACATATAAGTTTAGGGGGAAGAAGGAACTTTCCTCTACCCTCAAGCTTCTTTTTGGCTGGTCTAATCATTGAATCTACATGAGACAGATTAACAAGAGAAAATAGCCAAATTTAATCACATATATATATGTATGGAAACCCCATATATTTGAGAGACTCATAGACCCTAGATACATGAGAGGTTCAAGGACAGAAAGTTAAAATGAGTTATAAATGGGTTGAACTAAGGATGAGGTAAGTCATGATCATTCACCAGACAATAAGAAAAACATATATGCAATAATTAGAAGTTTGCCCTGCCCTGTATATAGGTCATAAAAAGATATGTCTGCTAATAATTATTATTATGAACAAGGCTCTTAATTTAAATTCTTCTAGGTAGTTAGTGGTAGGGAGGGATAGCAGAAGTTTCTCTTGAGTCCACAGGGTCTTGGTTACCTTTAACTCATCTTGGGCCGACTCGTTCTGAACCACTACAAAGTGATGCCATTCAGTATTTGTCTTTCTCTGCCTGGCTTCTTTCACTTAGCATAATGTCCTTCAGGTTCATCCATGTTGTTATTGATCCATATAACTTCAGTAATGTTCATTAAAAACTAGAAGCCTATTTTACATATATTTTGTATAATATATTTCATAATAAAATCAAGAGATACAGGCCTAGAAACTGGAACATCACAGAATCAGTGCTATAAAAATCCTATAAAGGCTTTATGGCCCTGGCTACTGTGGCTCAGTGGACTGAGTGCTGGCTGTGAATCAAAAGGTGGTTGGTTCAATTCCCAGTCAGGGCATGTGCCTGGATTGTGGGCCAGGTCTCCAGTTTGGGGCATGCAAGAGGCAACCAATCCACGTATCTCTCACACACCAATGTTTCTCTCCCTCTCTTTCTCCCTCCCTTCCCCTCTCTCTCTCTTAAAAAAAAAAAGTGCTTTATGGACCTTATAAGGATGCCTTACTGACACTGAACATTGTTGATTACCCTTCTATTCCCCTCATATCCCTTTAAGTGATAATGAGTTTTGGACTTAAGCTACAGTTACCATCAACCATCACAGCTTGCAAGGATGTTTTTGATGTCCTTCATAATGACAAAGGACTTCCAAGAACTTCTGCTTTCCAACTTCAAAATCTTTCCAGGTTCTCCACTGACCCAGACCACCCAGAAGCCAACAGGTAGGTACTGGGCTCTGATGAAGAAGTTTTTGCACCCTCTCAGTGCCAAAAACTGAGGACAAGGGTGGAGATTGGATTTGGAGAGGAAAAGTCTGGATAGCCCTCTTATCTATCAATATTCACTCTGTAAGTGATCTCATAATAATTTTTAATCTATACTCTGATAATTCCAATATCAATATCTCAAATTCTGTTTTCACCCCTGAACTCCAGACCATTGCCTATAACTGCCTACTGTATATATTTACTTGATTTTCTAGTTGATATCTTAAATTTAGTATGTCTGTCCCACACTTCTCCCAAATTCTCTTCTTCCAGTTTCCCCCCAGATCATTTAAGGGCAAAATATCATACACTCCATTGATTTGGCCTCAGAGCTGTAAATCAACCTTGTTTTCTTTCCCTTACTCTCCATACCCACTCCCTCAGAAAGTCCTGTCAAAGAGAATTACTTCAAAAATAAACCATGAGTCTGGGCTTGTCTCATGTTTTTACTGCTCTCACCCAGTCTCTGTGAGACTCATGTCCCTCTAAGGTCTACATTCCACATAGAGCTTGGAGAAATCTTTAAATACATAAACAGACTTTATCAGTACCTTTTTAAGACCTTTGAGCAGCCTCCTATTTCAGTTATAATCCAAACTCCTTACTTTTGGCATGCCTTTCATGAACTAATGAGTTAATTTTGAGGGCATTTCTGGATGAAATTGAAATGTAAGTTGGTTAACTTTAAGCAAGCAGATTGCCCTCTAGACTGTGGGTGGGCCTTACCTAATAAGCTAAAGGCCTGAATAGAGCAAAAAGACTGGCCTCCCTGAGTGAGAGGGAATTCTCCAGCAGAATGCCTTCAGATATCAGCCTTCATCTGTACCATCAGTTTTTCTGGGTCTTAAGCCTGCTAACCTACACTGCAGATTTTAGACTTCCCAGCCTCTATAATCATGTGAGCCAATTTCTTATAATAAATCTAAATTTCTTTATATTTCCTATTGGTTCTGTTTCTCTGGAGGCCTCTAATACTGCATAAAAGACTACGTGATTTAGCCCTGCCTAGATTTTCAATGTCCTCTCTAATTCCTTTTTATTTGTTCCTTCTTTGGGATTGGTTAAGGACATTTTTATTTCACTTCCTCCTCTAAAGTTTTTTGAAGTTATACATTCTTTTTATGTCCTTTGAGTGGCTGTCACTACTTCTAACCTTCAGATTTAGTCTGAAGGAAATTAATATCTCTATCCTTTAAACACTTAATACCAGTCACCAGCTTCTCATCTTAAATGTTAGTTTTATTTAATATTTTAGATCTAATCTAGTTTGTTTACTATCTGTATAGATGTTTTCTTTTTTCTTTTATTTTTAGAGAGAAGGGAAAGGAAGGAGCAAGAGAGGGAGAGAAGCATCAGTGTGTGGTTGCCTCTCTCACGGCCCCCCACCAGGGACCTGGCCAGAAACCTGGGCATGTGCCCTGACTGGGAATTGAACCAGAGACCCTTTGGTTTGCAGCGTGCACTCAATCCTCTGAGCTACACCAGCCAGGGCAGATGTTTTCTTTTCATAATCAGTGTTGGTTTAGATTTTCTCATGTTTTTGTTTGTTTGTTTGTCTGTTGTTTTGTTCTCTCACCATTCCTTACATCTCAGACTTTCTTCCTAAGGTTATTTTCCTTCCTACAGTAGAAATGGTTGGTGTTTAATGTTTTCAGTGTTTGTCCAAATTTCTAAATTTTTTCCCTTGTTCCTTATGATAATTTTATGGTATAAAAATAGACCATCTGAATAGGCCTATATCTATAAGGAAATTTAATTAATAAATAATAACCTTTCAAAATAGAAAGCACTGAGGCCAGATGGGTTCACCAAGGAAATCTACCAAACATTTAAGGAAGAAATTATACCAGTTCTCTACAATCTCTTTCAGAAGACAGATACAGAGGGAGCTTATTCATTCATTTTGTAAGGCCAGCATTACCCTAATACGAAAACCAGACAAAGACATTACAATAAAACTTCAGATCAACATTTCTCATGAACACAGATGTAAAAATCCTCAACCAAAATATTAGCAAATTGAATCCAACAAGTATAAAAAGCATTATATACCATAACCAAGTGGGATTTATCCCAGGTATGCAAGGCTGCTTCAACATTCAAAAAATATTAGTGTAATCCATCACATTACCAGTTTAAAGAAGAAAAATCACATGGTCATATCAATAGGTGTAGAAAAACATTTGACAAAATCCAACACCCATCTATCATAAAAACTCTCAGTGAACTAGGAATAAAGGAGAACAACTTCAACTTGTTAAAGAACATTTACAAAAACTTACAGTTTACATCATACCTAATGGTGAGAAACTAGAAGATATTCCACTAAGATAAAAAATACAGCAAGGATGTCCCCTCTCACTACTCTTTTCAACATCATACTGGAAGTCCTAGCTGATACAATAAGATAAGAAAAAGAAGTAAAAGTTACACTGATTGGATGCAAATTAAAACCACAATGAGATACCACTTCACACCAGTCAGAATGGCCATCATAAACAAAGCAACAAACAAGTGTTGGAGAGGTTGTGGAGAAAAGGGGACCCTAGTGCACTGTTGGTGGGACTGCAGACTGGTACA